TTTCCTTCCCGCCCTTTGTTCTCCCTTTGTCATCTTCACTGCCTCGCTCTCGCGCCTTGTCTTTGGTTGCTAAGCAGCCCTTCTAGTATATAAGGACCCCTTAGGCACTCCCTAGTCCCCATCTCGACCTCTTGGTCATTGGGACTAGGTGAGTGACCATAGCGTTGTATCTCCCTCCGATTGCTAATGTATAACTTGGTCATTGGGACTAGTCTGTTGCTGCCTGCGTGAAGACTAGCTTTCGTAGGTCTCGTGCCTTCGTGCCGACCTCCGCTCTGCCCTCGTCGAGTTTTCTGTCACGTTTATCCCTCTCCCTCTCTCTTTCCCCTTTCGGCTCCTTGCCGCTCGCCTACGGGGTCGTCGCCGAACGTCGACCCGAGTCTACGCGCCTAGTCGCCGCGACATCCGTCTCTCTCCTCTCCCTCTCAGTCAAGTCCCCTCCCTACCCATTTCCCTCTGAGTGTCCATCCACATTCCAACAGCGCGCCGCCTATCTGTTGTTCTGATGAGTGCTGAAGGGATCTCCACGGCGACAGCAAGGCTTCGAGCAGCCCGTGAGGGGAAGACTATGGCAAACCGTGATGTTAGCCTTAACAGCGATCAGAACAACGAATCTTCAAAACGGCGTGCGTACCACCATATGAGCTGTTACCCCACTGCCTAATCTGTTGTGGATAGCTGCTCGCGAATCCAAGACTAAGCTCTTGCAGAACCCTAGTGAGTGACACGTTCACAGCTAGATGATATGCAAACTTATGTGAGTGTATCAGCATGGGGCTCAAAGAAGCCAAAAGGAAACTTCAAGTCAGCTGGGCAGAGCGCCGAAAAGTCCACCCGCCCTCATTCCGCAGACTTGGAGGTCGTTGGCACTCCCAACAGGTCAAAGAAAAAGGGGATTGGTTGTCGTTCCGAGGGCAAAGGGACGCAGAAGGCGAAGCGCAAACGAGTTCTCTCCGACTCTGAGTCGGCAAAGTCAGGCGATGAGGAGCAAGCGGTACAAGGTAAGCACTGTTGAGAGTATATTCGAAGTCGGTGAGGTGGAGGATAATGATAATGGGTGTTGTAGGCGATGGCAAGTTGCTTCCAGTAGAGCAGGTTAAGGTTCCGAAAAAGCGCAAGATGGCGTCCACAGGAGCGCCCACATCTCAGTCCTCTGGTACGCACCTTTGTGACCGTTCAACTTCCTTGCTCCTGCACCATCAGCTCACCTTTAATCCATTCCTCGCAGCAAATTTCGATGCCCCTGACATTGACATTGACGGTACCGAGTCCTCATCAACAGAAGACGAACCCCTCTTGCCGAAGACTCCTGGTAGGTTTGGCCAGACCTCTATGTCTTAGCCGTTACTCGCTGTGCTTATTGACTCTTGTCAGCTCGTGTCAAGTCCAACAAGTCATGCATATCCGAGCAGAAGGAGGGAGCCAACGACTTCAATGATGATGGGGAGGCAGCCGGGCACGATAGCCTTGGTGATGAAGATGACGAGCGACCGGAAGAACGCGACTTTGGAGAGCGCATGACGGACACGCAGGTCTCACATGAGGTACGTTCTCTTGCAAAAGGGTGTGCAGACACTACCCCGGTATTGCTTGTCCGTATGATGAGCAAGCAAGTCTCTGCGCCGAGACTGCTAGGCTATGCACGTAAGGGCCGCTCAGCTAGTCGCCCATCCATGTGGACAGTGCGACAACACACTTCAAGTGCTTTTTGGGTCCACGAGCCTAGAAAGCCAACAGGAGTAGTCAGCATGCATGTGAGGAGTCCACTGAGATAATGAACTCATCCGCACGAGTGCGAGCATCACGAACAGCTACATAGACTACATCCCGAGATCAATTCCGAGTCCGTCATGGATGCCCTTGAGCCCTAGATCGCACTGATGCAGCCTCAGCGGCATCTCCATAGAGATGCCAGTTTCTGAAGGCATGATTGCAGCGTACTGACTATGTTGGATGTCTTGCGGGCTTGACGTTGACGGAACTGTGAGCTTGGACCTAACTAATGTACATTGCTCCCAGCGCATCAACTGGACCGCTGGTCCCACGTTGAAGGCTCACGCTGGTATGTACTTCATCTTTTCAGTACCTCAATGCCCCAGTCTTACCTTTGAGTATCGTATTGCTTCCATTTGCAGGGGAGAATAACGATGGTGAAGAACTGTCTGGCGTCAACATTCCGTCGAGCCAAGATACTCCCACCGCGATGCGCCCGGACCGGCCGCGTACTCGCAAGGCGCCACCGTCTGACAATGACTCTCAGTCTGACTCTCCTAGCGACCCCCCTCGCCCCAGGAAAGGAGGTGCGCGCAAGGAGAAAAAGAAGCAGGCACGTCGTCTTTTTCCATTGCTAACTGCCTGCATCTTTACGTTGACCATTCACTTGCACCCTCATCCAATCACGCAGAAACTTGCGCAGGAGGTATGAACAACTTAAACCAGTAATCTCACTCTAAACCGCTTTCTGGATTCATATAGCTCCCAACTGTCACGAAGAAACCGCCACGGGGCCAATCTGCAGCCTCCATAGTCCCGAGCGACTCAGAGGGCGATTGCAACTGGTTGCAACGTACTGACATCACAGATGCGCTCACGCCGTCGAGTAGCAACAAGTGGACGGTGAACCTCAAACCAATGGGTCCTGAACTGCACGCCATCATGAAGCTCAGCTTCACGCTATGCCAAATGCATTTCGTCTTCCGAGACCTCAACGACCCTCCGCTTACCTCCTCTGAACAAGTCCCCCGTATTGTTACAGGATTCGACAATGCAGGCGCAAACGACTTTGCGCTTCAAGCGCTCGTCAAGGCGGCAACAGATAAAGGGTATGATGGCGAGAACGACATTGTTGATCGCCTACTTTACGGCTCGCCTAACCTATACGTGGACCCGTTGGTTGGCTACGTGAGTATTTCTTACTGGTATCTGAATATGATTCCTCACTGATGTTTTCTCTCAGACTGCTCACCAGATGAAGCAGTATCAAACACATATGAAGAAGGCGGCTGTCACAGCCAACGAGCTGTGCCACCAAAACAAACAAGGGCAAAGCTTACTGATGCAGAGGTTGGTGCTGAGAAGCGAAGCAACCAGAGGTGACACAGCAAGAGATGTGAAGAGATGTATTCCCTAGACTAGAAGGGGTAGTGAGGGAGGTAGGGCTGCTAGCTACCTACAGAGGAGATGGGGAATCGACGAGAAGATCAAGTCTGAGGTTCCCTGCCTCAGACTCCCTACTATATATACTAATACAATGGTGCACAGACCAGGTACCTATTGACCATCGTTTGGTCAGAGTTCTCTGCCTCATGTCCTACCCTCTGACCTGCCTCATGGTGACCTTACAACTAATACCTGAGTCGTGCCGAGTCCGGACCCCTCCCAATGAGTAA